GACCGAAGATGTCGAACAAATAGCCATCAAGATTTCACAGCTTCCCAAGGCCACAGGAACATACAAGAGGACCACCGTGATTACACAGGGCGCAGACCCAGTGGTTGTTGCTGAAGATGGAAAGGTGAAGAAATACCCTGTGATCCCTCTCTCAAAGGAGAAGCTCGTTGACACCAACGGTGCAGGTACTTGTTTTCATAACCCAAAGGCGAAATTGTAACCAATCCTACATTAAAATTTAGTCTTACTTTACTAGATGACCATAGAATAAGCTGATTCTTATCATTTCAACGAATTTTCTCTCCTCAAATACTGATACAAAACATTTGCCTCTCTTTGTCATAGTCAGAAATAGAACCAATACCGATGATTTAACTGCTATTTTTGTTGATCTCTCTTAACAGGTGATGCATTTGTTGGAGGATTCATGTCACAGTTGGTGAAAGGGAAATCGATTGAGGAGTGTGTGAAGGCGGGATGCTACGCGTCCAACGTGGTGATCCAAAGATCTGGCTGCACTTACCCTGAGAAGCCCGACTTCAACTAAATCATTGGGTCATCCTCAGTTTTGTGATGTCTTCCAAATAAAACTACCTTTGATTCAAAATACTCTCACGATTATTGCTTAAGTGTTCTTTTTGCTTTTTTTTTATATCACCCTTTTTATTATCATAATCATTGATAATTTCATATCATTATTACTAAATATAATAGATTGAGAAAAATCATATCTTGCTCCTTAATTTAAACTAAGATATGTAGTTGCAATCAATAAGAGGCTTATATATTAACTACTGACAAAAAATGGCTCATATTACAACACTCTTCATTAGTTCTACATAGATCTCAACGTAATGGTTACTCTCACATATTAGCCAAAACCTTAATTAGAACCCTCTTGTCGAATGAGAGACTCATTAAGATCAAAAATAACTAGGAGAAGCGCAACGGAGGACCTCGAGGAAGAGAGTTTCGTCACAAGGGATACAAAGCTTGGAATCTCCGGAAGTAAAATCGTCGTAAACTTCGTCTTTCGATTGATCAAGCAATGCTCTTATGATGGGATCGTGAAGCAACTTAATCTTGATCACGAACCTCTTGTAACTCTCCTCTTCTTTACCTACGTACACAACTAGGTGTCCTTTTGGTACGTCGCTTGGTATATGAGGTTTCTCGGCGTCGGCTCGATGTTTGGCGACTCTACTTGACATTTGCTTCCATGCCTTTGTGATCAGCTTGCTCTTCTTCATCATGTTTATGAGGAGTTGAGAGAGAAAATTTGATGTGAGAGAGAGACGTTTTTGGGGTTTAGTGTGAGAGGAAATGTAGAGAAGTACTAGTGTCGTACGTG